TGAAACTACAAATACTTTTCTAAACACCCTTAGATTCAATCAAGTGAGCTACAGCAACATAATGCAAAAAAGAAGATTAAAAGTACTTGAAAACTGCTATTCAACTTGAATTTAAGATCACTTTGATTAAGTCCGTCTGTGTTTGTGCATTTATTGCATTATATACGTAAACTTACATTCCTGAAATACCACAACAATAGGATTTACAAAGTGTAGTAGTTGAGTTCCGTTTTTATTTATCCTATCAATTATTAATATTATTATTATTCAAGTATAGGTTTGTAGGGATTTGGTTGATTAGTTACATGACTTCATCATGAGCTGACATTGGTTAGAGAACCATTGAAACCCAACAGGGAGTACTGGAAAGCTGTTTCGTCCAAGTTTTGGACTCTTCAGCAGTACTCACCCACCGGGGTTCGAACCCAGGACCTTCCGGTTACAAGGCGAGCTCATAGACCATTAAGCCACTGGGACCCGATCCAATGGTCTGTGAACTCTAACTTCTGCCAATTCACGGTATAGCGCAACCGCTAGCCAATATCTTCGGCGAGTATTTGTCCTCACACCTAACCTGCTGCACCCTACTGGTCACGACTTCTTAATATTATTGTTTCCTTTAGTTCATAGAGGAACACAAGGCTTCAGACGTACGTCCCCATTGCGTTCGGTTCTCTGCCAACGTTTTCACCTGGCTCCACGTCTGCCCACATGCTTTCTTCTAGTTTTCACATGACCTGCTCTATGTCACCCCATCCTCATATTGACGACCAAATCGCCGCTTCCTGTTTAGGTTCCACTCGAGCGATGGCCTGGCGTGTGATGTCACCTATTTGATGGTTTGTTTTCTCAGAGTATGACCAATCCACCTCCATTTCTTCCTGGTTATTTGTTGCCTTATTTGTTCCCTCCCATAGATCCCTGTTGCTGATCTTTTCTGACTGGCCACCTGATCTTGAGTATTCAGCGGAGACAGCTGTTGATGAAAGTCTGTAGTTTGTTTGAGGTGCTCTTCATGACGCACCAATTCTCTGATTCATAAAATAGCACTAACTTTACATTGAAGTTAAAATTCCGGATGTTATTTTTTATGCTGAGTTCTGTTGACCTCCACACAGACTTGAGAGTAATGAAAGCTCGCTTTGCTTTCCCGACCCTCGCTTTGATATCCTCGTCAGTTCCGCCTGTAGTTGAAACAATGCTTCCCAGGCAGGTAAAATAGGTTGCTTCTTTCAGATTTCTCCCATTCATACTGATTGTTGACTGTTGTTATCGCCTGTTTCCTCGCTGCCCACCACTGTCTGTCACATTATCCAGTCTACCGCAATCAGGAAAAACATTGGAGACAATAGTCAGCCAGCTTGTCTTACTCCCGTCTTCACTTCGAATATCCTCTCAATAACTGACTTTAAAGTCAGCAAAGTTTCATGGTCTACACATACCTCCATCACAATAATACATAAATACGGTAAATACAGGGAAAAATGGAAAAAAGTCTATCTATGACATATACATTACTGACTCACATGACAAAGTATATTTTAGTAATATATAGGTAAATATTGAAAATACTAAATGTACTGATCCGTATCTGTCAATTGATTATGCATAGACTAAATCCACCCTATAGATGAGTCAAGTAGTGGAGTAGTGTGTAATGTCAATTAAAACTCTGTCACATGAATAAATTGAGTAGAGTACTTAACAGTGAACAAAATAAGTCAATGTATCATAAACATTCTGTAAGAGAGAAATATTTTAAATACTATTTAGAATTTTAGGTGTCACTCAATCGAATTATAAAATGAATCCAAATGGATACTTGATGTTTACTTAGTTTGTGTGATTCATAGAGAGAAAAAAAATTAACTAGTGAGTCCGAATAACAAGTAGTTTATTATTTTGTAAGCCATATTTATAAGTCATGTTTAATGCACTGCAAGAACTGCTGAGGAATCATGCTCCTGTCGACGCCAAGTAAAATCCTGAGTCGCATCATCCTGGAGAGAATAAAGGACGCACTGGATACAGAACTCCGACCAGAACAAGCTGGATTCAGGAAAGGCAAATCATGTTCTGACTAAATTGCAACTCTACGCATCATCATCGAACAAAGCATGGGATGGCAATCAAACCTCTATCTCAACTTTATAGACTTTGAGAAGGCCTTCGACAGAGTTGACCGCGAAGTAATTTGGAAATTACTCGAGTAATACGGCGTACGTCAAATATTCATCAACCTTATTCGACAACTCTACGATAACGGGATATGTCAAGTGATCCACAATGGAAAATTCAGAGAGGCGTTTGAAATAAACACAGGAGTCAGGCAAGGGTTCTTATTATCACCAATGATATTCCTGATTGTGGTGGACTGGATTATACGTCAGGCAGCGAGTGGGAAACGACAAGACAGGAATATCCTGGACTGACTGACGTGAAGAACCTAGAAGACCTGGATTTCGCGCGTCGATGATTTATGTTTGATGTCACACAAAATCGAAGACTAACAAGCGAAAACCGACAAACTGGTCGAAGAAGCAGCCGGCGAAGACAAGACTCCAGGTGAAAATAGACAAGATGGGGGTGATGATAATAACCAACCAACAATAACAACAATAGCAGCAACCTCTAGCGTCAATCACCATCAACGGGAGGGATTTGAAAGAGGTCATTTTATTCATTTATCTAGGGAGTATTGTCTCAACTACAGGAGGAACCGATGAGGATGTCAAATCGAGCGAGAATCGGGAAGATGAGAAACACATTCATCAACATGAAACCAATCGTCACTCAGCATTAACAACAAAATTCGGTCGGATTTTCAATACAGACGTAAAGTCAGTCAGTTCTTCTATACGGATCAGAAACTTGGCGGGTCACAAAGAATATTTCCAAAAGGCTGCAGACCTTTATCAGCAACTGTCTTCACTGGCTCTATACTGAAGATCAGATGGTGGGGCCGGAAAGAATCACCAACAAGAAACTATGGGAACAAACAAAACAAGAACGAACCAATCGCCCAACAAATATGCAGGAGAAAGTGGAGATGGATTGGACACTACTCGCTGAGGAGGCCGCTGAGTGACATCACGCGACGTGCCATTGCTCGAGTGGAACCCGAAAGGGAAGCGGCGAGTGGATCGTGAGTGCAAGGGTGACATGGAGGAGATCGTGTGAAGAGGAGTTGAAACGGTATGGACTAACATGGATGCAGGTGAAAAGTACAGCAAAAGACAGAATCAAGTGGAGACGTGCAGTTGAAGCCCTATGTTCTACTAGGAACCCAAGGGAGCAATAATAATAATAATAAATTTCTTCATTTTACACAACTGTAAATTCTATCTAGAACTGATAATTATGAAGGAGCTACAGATAACTAGTTCGAATTTCTTTGTTATACTGTGGTGATATATGCTAGCCGAAATTGCTGAACAACAATTTACGTCAATGTTTACATCCCATATCTTAGTCATGAGAAAAAACAATAACAAAGGTTAACCTTGATGAACTCACCAACCAATCACAACAGACTTAACGTGGGCGGATACGATTAACAAATATATGACCGGAGTATCTAAGATACGGCCACAAAGAGATGACAGAATAACCTTCAACAGGAAAACAACCGATCAGAAGACATTGCTTCTCTGCTAACAATAACGAATAATAGTGTACATAAAAATCTACAAATATCTATTGACTTTCTCAGTTAACGATTTGTTGCCTGACCCTTGTCTTCTGTCGTTACATAACTATTTCAGAAAGTCTAAGAACTATCATCAGAGGTTGTTCTTTTTTAATTTCATACTGATTCAGATAGTTACATACAATGAATTTATTTGATATATATGTATATATATATTCAAACTAAGACAACTTAACCAATAGTAGTCATGTTTAACCTTTATGACATTTGTACTGATTAATGACGAACAGATTTTGAAAAACTGAAACATTTGAGACACCGTCTTGGGTCTAGAAAGAACAGTTTTTGAGGAAGCTGAAGTGTAAACACTGTGTTCTAGCATTTTTTAGATGAATTAGTTTAGCAGACTTTGAGAAGCGAGAAGACACGAATACGTTAGGCTAACAAAAGCACCTCTAGGAGATCTGGACTTCACAAACGACTTTTATTTAGTGTCAAACGAACTCCAAGATCTATAGGCGACAACCAACAAGTCAGCAGTAGAGGCGCCAAAGACAGGATTCCAAGTGAACTTAGAGAAGACAGAAGACTATATACACAACAACAAGCACCAGTCACTATCAGCATAAGGAAGTCGCCAATTTTACTTATACAGGCGGCACGGGTGAAGGTGTCAATGCCAGTCAGGATCGGAAAGGCAAGATATATATTCCTTATTCTGAAATTAGTCCAGAAACCTGATGCATTCAGCCTAAGGAACAATATTCAGATTTTTAACACCAATGTCAAGTTACTCAGTTCTTCTATACGGTTCGGGAACTTCGTGCATGCGTCAATAGAAGTATTTTGAACGGGCTGTTGTGGACTTTGATCGATAGCTGTCTTCTCTGGACCTATACTGAAGATCAGATAACCAGCCAGAAAGGATGAGCAACAAGAAATTCCGCTAGTTCAACGAATTGATCAAGATACTCGGAGTTCCTAAGAAAATGAAGATGATTTGGACACACGCTGAAGAGACCGTTGAGTGACATTGCTCGCCAAGTCATTGATTGGAACCCTAATGGAATACAACGAGGCAGACAAGGAAGAGATTGTATGAAGAGGAAATGAGAGTCTATGGGCAGTCATGGAGCCAGTTAAAGAGGATTTCAGAGGATAGGATAAAATGGAGACGTTCTGTTGAAGCTGTATGTTCCACTTGGAACCTAAGGGCATAATAATAATAATCATAATAGACAAATTCGCTTATATTATAATTTTATAATCTCACTAAAATACAACGTGGTAATATCTTCACCTTATTTTACTTTGAAAAGTTTGCTTTTTATTTGGGTAACAGATCACTTACTTATCTCCATTAATATCTATAAATACAAGTGAATGACCAAATCGACTTCCAAAGCTTTGACCTTCTATCTTCATCAACGGTTTGACATTATTCCTTCCATTTTCTTTATTACTTTGAAAGATTGAAACAATGCCAGTACCGAATTTCATATTATCTAAAAAGTTGTTGCCGCCATTACTCGGAACACCTGGACCACCGTAAGCCACATATAACTCATATGCATTTATTCCTGGTAGTGGAGCGTATAATCGATTGGAAGTAGCAACTGAAGAACCTTTAAAATTTAAAAATATAAACAAAAGGGATCTTAAAATACTCTACATAAATGTATAATGAATGTTAAATGTTTCGCTAAGTATAAAAGTGGTACAGAACAGAGAAAGGATATAGTGCAAAAGATCAAAGAACATATCATTTCTTGATAGAATTTAGTCTAGGTCAACACACAGGACTAGATGGATTACATGAGTCATTTCACTATCTTGTGTCAGACTAAACTATCCATCACAGTCCAAAAGGAAGTCAATCGCAATTTTGAATAGTTCAGTCATAACATCTCTGACTGCACTAACTAACTGACCCAGTTTCCAATCTCAGGATGAAGATGAGTTTTTTGAAGGTTGCAGATAAGCCTTGTTGACTGATGAGTGCTGAAAAGCGAGAAGTCGACATTCAAGACTTTCGGACAATTGCTTTCAACCAAATAACATAAATTAGTGAAGTTTATTTCGATTCTTATCGGAATAAAAGTTCAGTTGATTCAAAGGCACTCGTTGAAGCTTACTTAATCTTAGTTAAATACAAAACTTACTTCTGTAATAAGAAGTGCTACGGAATATATTCAACAAATGACAAAATACCTCATATTGAATATTGTTAGACAAAAAGATTTTGATGAAGGCTAATCGTAGAAAGATTTATAGTCCAAGATACTACTGTTGAAACGAGTTCCACTGGAAACATATAGTGTATAATTTTTCATTACCGTCTTGTTTATAATTTCCGTAAACATAATAAAACTTTTCAATTGTCAGTGTGTATACTTTCACTCATGGGGAATAGAACTCACAATTAAAACTCTGATGTATGAACTACTTTAATTCATAAAAATATATGGGGTAAACTTGACTGTCAGACAAATTCTGATGTGTATGGGGATTTAAGTCATAATTTGAAAAACAAAATATCGTTTTGAAGCAGAAGTATTTAAGTTATTAAGTATGCCCAACAACGTTACAACCGTTTTCACGGTTGGCTTCTAACTAATAAATGTTGGCAGAAATGAAAATGACCTAAAAACTTAGGTTTGTTAGTTATATGTTACTAACATTCCTTCTAAAAGGGATATCGCTTGTAGCTTTCTAAAATGACTTATGTTTAAATTAGTATATGGTGTCTAGTAGTGGAATTCAGAATGTGCATTTCGTCCTATTCGAGGCTCATCACTGGGTGTCTGCATCCTCCAGTGGGTGATGGTGTTCCCATTGAGGTTCAAACCCAGTACCCACAGTTTCAAACACGAAAACGTTATCCACTAGACCATTAGGGCCACGATAGCCACCTCTTGTGCAATGGGTATCATTAATTATTTCATTCACTTTCGATTTTCCTATTGATTATTTGAATGTTTGGCGTTTGAGACTATGAGTAATGGATTCCAGCCTCAATGGGAACACCATCATACTCTGGGGAATGCAGGTACTTCAAGGTGACGAGTCCATAATGGCACGAAGTGAGCGTCCTGACTGGATTCCACTGCTAGTCATAATCCACCAATTTACGTTAAATTAAACAATCAGTCATCATCAAATCATCCACACAAAGAGCCGACTTGTCAACTTAAGGCCAAGCACCTCAATCCAATCAATCAACAGGAAAGTTCAAATCGAAATAAACAACACATGTTTAATTGATGAGTTAAATTCGACGTGTCTTTCTTTGAGTGAAAGGCAGTTTGGTATCAGTCAGTATATATTATTGGGTAATGGAGGAACCCTAAACAAATATACTGGCGTCTAAAACACAGAAATCTATTCAAGATTTAAAAACAGGACTGTTAGGTCTCATTGCAATCACGTTGCTATTCATCATTGGGGTGGGAAGTAGTTGCGGCTCATACTTTAAAGGCGGAACCAACCGATCATGGCTATTGTTTTACATTAATGAATAGTTTAGAATAAAGACAGGTGCCATGTCGAACCTGGGCGAGGGTCACGTTTCGTTTTGTATTAAGAGACACTGAAAAATGTGACTGTTAAAGCCTACTAGAGTTGCATATTCATTACTCGAAGATTGTTTTGAAATTCCCATCACTAACCACTTCCAAAACAACCGTCTGGTAACGATTTTAATTTTTTGATAAAACTAAGTACTCTTTATTCAACCTGATATTAAAAGATAATCTAGAGTTGAAACAACTTTTTTAAGATAAGTAGTTTTTTTACATTACCTTTACGCTCCCAGCGGAACATAGGACTTCAAGCTAAAGGCTTGAAGTTTCGGTAGCAGTGGTGACTATTTTTACAAATTGAGGTTGTTAGCCTCATACCCAACCTTCCCTCTTTACCAGTCTTATTACTGGCTTGGTGAGGGGTAAAGGAGTAAGTCGGCCGGGAATCAAACCCAAGGCCACATGAGCTGTCGGTGAGCATTCTACAGCTTTGTCACCGAAGCACCGAGGTTATCGTCAAACCAGCTGACTTACTGTACTTGTTAGATCATCGATTTGTGTGTTAAATTAGGAGGATTTCTATCATATTTACTATGACTAACCAACTGACTGTAATTGAAGTTAACAAGACGAAAACATTTTCTCATTGTCAAACATTAAACACTAATTGTGTTTTATACACGACAAGTACCTGTACATCAATTATAAACATTACAGTGTGGATAATATATTTCTACCAACAGTCGAATGACATCACGCGTAATGAAGGCCATCGCTCGAGTGAAACCTGTATGGGAAACGACGAGTGGGTTGTCTTGACATGGAGGAGATCATGCAAGAAGGAGGTGAGAGATTATGAGAAATTATGGGCTCAGTTAAAGAGGACAGTATAAAATAGAACAAAGTGGAAATTTGTTGTTGAAGCCGTATTTTCCACTCGGAACCCTTGGGAACAGTAAGATATATATATATATGTCCTTCCAGTTAGCAGAAATGTGATAAACTCAGGAAGGTTTACTAAACTAGCGGAGTTTTAACATAGGACTTTGCACAGAATTGAGCCAATTCATATCGCCACATTCCATAATGAGATTCAAATGAACTGAAATAAGCAGAAATATGAAAGATAGAAGATGGTAACATGAAGAAACATACCAATTTAGTGGATATACACAATCATAAATAGTGAATGCATCTGCGCCATTAAGAACAATTTTGAACCATACCACCGATAGTCACCAACCATTAGATCTTAGCATCCCAAGGTCCCCAATGCGACAGCCTACAACCTCTCTGGGTGACTCAAATTATCTGTCAAAGTCTCCATGAACTGATTTCAGGTTTTAGCTTGACCACCCACTAACTCATTTGCAAACTAATCTTATGTCAGTGGTTAACATTGCCTGTCGAGGAAGGCGGTGGCTCAGTATGTACAAAACGTCTCCTAGCCATCTCAATCAATGTAGTTTCACAACCTTATCGATTGACTTACACTGTACATCTAACCTCAATATTACTCATCTTAATTATACCACTTAACACAGGAGATAGAACACAGACACCTATGATTAAAGACAGATAGTTTTTTTTTTCATACCTTCCACTTTCACTGGCCATGTCTCATAGCCATAAAAGAAAACAGAGAGCTGCTATGTAGTACATATATTCTCTGATCAATAGTCAGATATCATGTACACACCAGAGATGACATAAGAGGTATACTCAAAACCAGACAAGGACTAAAATGCATCAATTGAATGATGAAAAATCTACATTTACAAAAAAATAATAATAAAACAATCATTTACTGGCAATTTGTCTAGCCAATGTATCATGATGTATCAATTTATTCCACTAATTGATACAAGAAGTCTTTTCTTATTAGTCTATTGATATATTTTTGATAAGTGGCACTGAAATGAAAGCCTCGTATTTTATTTTTCTTAAAACACCATTTTAAATCTGTCTGTCGTTATATGTAGTTTATGCATTTAAACATTGGTCGTTTGATTAGAATTAAGAACAACAAAACAATTAAACGAAGCGTTAAAACAATCTCTTTGACAGTCAGTCAGTCAATTAATCAGTAGCTGGTTACTTAGTTAATCGTATACACGCACAACGCATAATTGACTGAGTGTTTAAAGGATATTGTATTTCGTACACCTGAAGAGTTAGTTATCATTTAGTCAGAAGAGGATGTCCATCCAGTAATGCAATAACTTATTCATTAGGTGACAATGTCTACTTATTGTCTAGGATAAATGAAACCATACAAGTTAAATCTTTCTTATATATATGCATAAGTCGAATAAACACATGTAATAAAATCTTCAAGAAAAAGCTACCATGAAGAGAATAAGAATGAAGTATTAAGGCTTGTAATCTGTATTACACAATTTACTGTAGGATTGTTTTTCAAGTAATGAATACGGTTGCGCCACTTAGATAGACAAATGACACTTGAAATAATGATTAGAACTTTTTTTAAACAACAACAATAACTTAACTAGCATCAGCCTTTTAGTTGCTTACCAGTATTTGCTCACAACACTATGAACTCCATATATTACAGGATTTCATTATGACCAGATATTAGTTAGAGAACCATTGGAAAACCTTCAGGGAGTACTGGACAGTCAGCTTAGTTTGGAACTCTTCAGAGTACACACACCCACAGCCTGCGTTTGAACCCAGGACCTTCCGATTACAAGGCGAGCTCGTATAACATTAAGCCGCTGTGACCAAATCCAATGACCAGCCCCCATGAATTCTAACTTCTTCAAATTCACGACATAGCGCGACCACCACCATTAGGGTACTGCAGGTTGGGTGTTAGGACCAATACTCGCCGAAGACATTGGCCAGCGTTTCGAGAGGAAGACTGAAGTCTACCCTATCCACCACCTGCACTGTACCATGAGAGTCTGTTAGTTACTGACAAACAGATAGAAATTCCACTCTACTCTATCTATCTATCTATCTAACGAACGTTATTACTAACATACTAGTCAATACTTATATTCACAAAGACTTCATACAAGAATTCCCTTTTATAATAAATTTGAGCAGAGGAAGAACAAACACTGGTGCAAAATAACATG